GTTTCATCAAATGACAGTCATATGGCCTGCTTGACCGTCCCACAAGACTGGGGTCAATGTCAAATATAATCCAGGGCTCTTCCTCGAAGACAAGACGCGGGGGAAAGAGTGGAACTCACTGCTCGAATCGAGACATTGTGCCCGATGCCGCCGAAACTCGCCCTGGAAAGGAGACGCGGCGGGTGTCGTAAGGTGGTACGCCACACTGGGGGCCCGTGTAAATGATGGTTGTCCTGGCAGGATCAGCACGAGACTTGACAAGATACGCAAACATCGGGCGAAACGAAAACTCACCGCAAAATCACCGAATCCGTGATCGAACCATCCGCTCACGGCATCAATAAGCCTTGTCGGGTCGAGGCCGCGTATGATATCAACCAGCTTCTCCTCCGGCCAGGGAGGAGACCGCAGCTGCCCCCAGCCCTCGTTATAGATGACCTTTGGAACCCCGCGTCATCAGCTTTCTTCCCACATCTTCAGGGTTCGTCGTTGCTTACCCATGTGACAATGGAGGGGAAATTCTTGTGTTGCTGAACAAGGGTCTCTATCTGGCGTTGATATTCTTCCTGCTGCGCAGCATCCGGATGACCCGTGCCTGCATCGTCTGGCGGCAAGCTTGGCATGTCTTGCACCACCATCAACCCCAATTCGTCACAGGCGTGATAGAACAAATCAGGCTCAATCTTGATCTGCAGGACATGAATCTTAGGCGGGGCTCTGTGATTTGTGGTGCAGCTTGGGATGGCTTACATGCTTGCGCAGCATATTAAATCCGAGGCTTTTGAGCACGCGCAGGTCGTAAATGAGGGCGTCGCGGCTTGGCGGTGTGTAGAGGCCATCTGGCCAGTATCCTTGGTCCAGGGTTCCAAATTGGAAGATGAACTCGCCATTCAGAAGAGGTCGGGGAATTCCATCAACTACACCTCTGGAGATGCTGCGAAATCCAGCATAGCTGGATATCTGGTCACTGCCCATTGTGAGAGAAAGTCGGTACAGCACCGGGTGGGAAGGAGACCACAGGCGAGGGCTCTTAACCTGGACTTCGAAGGGGCTATTAGATTGGCCCGAGCCCTTGACCACAAGCTTGCCATCGGCATCGTAGACAGACAGCTCGACATGCGGGGATATCTGCGCTTGCGAATTGTGGGCAAAGACCACCACTGTTGCATGTCAGTTTTGTCTGGTCCAACCAGGCTTAGGAAGCCATCGACCAACATTTGCCATCCATCTTTGCTTCAATGTCCAGTTGTGTAATGTGATTGACCGGCACGCTCTCGAGCCAGACTTGCTGCCAGATACCCGAGCAGGGCCTGTACCAGATATGCCGCGGATTTTTGGATTGCTTGCCGACGGGGATGACATACGGTTTCACGTCTGTAGGGTCATGAACGTGAACAAGTCTGTGGACACGTCAGCATGGCAGAGTCCTCAGATTACAGGTGTCAGGGGCTAGTCGTCGGGTATAACCCGTAACAACAGGTTGTTATCATATGCCATGCTTACAAGTCGTTCGCCCCCTCTCGCCGCAGATGTCGAGTGACATCAAGACTAAAGCGAGAATATCCTCCGACATGGGAGCCAACACGTTCGCCGTTGACAAAAATCTTGGCCTCGTAGTCTACGGCTTCAAAGTGAAGCATGACGATTTGCCCTTCCCAGTCTGCAGGGACCTCGAACGTAGTTGCGAACCACATCCGCGTGACGTTCAATCTGCATCCGGACAGGCCGCTCTCGATGCACGACGGGATG